ATGGTGCATGTCCCGCTGTTTATCACTGGAGTCCTGTGGGAAGAGTGGGGTAGTGGAACCAGGACCAGCAGGGTCCAAGACCCAAGACCTTCTGTCTGTTTCTCCCCTCGCCAAAACCAGCCCAGAGCTTCCCTACCCCCTCTGAGCGTAGCTGCGATTCCCCAAGTTCAGAGCCCAGCTTAACGGGGGGGGGGAGAGCAGCTGTTCACCCAACCGCCCCCATTCATTGAACCCTGGGGGAGGGGGAGAACTCCCCCAGATGTACGAACTGGCAGCTCTCAAGACCAGGCAGCATTCCTCAACATAACCAGGGCATGACTCACTCCCCATCAAAGCAGCGGGCGGCGGCATCGACGGCGGTGGCGGCGGCAACGGCGGCAGCGAGAGCCGCCCTGAGTCAGCAGCGCTTTCCCCTCTTCTCCTGGCCGGGACGGGGAGGGGGGGACGGGTCTTGCGTCAGCCCTTCAACGAGGACAGGCGCTCCGCTCCAGCTTACCCAGGCTGGGAGAGTGGCGCAATTCAGCAGGCAGGCCGAGGGGAGAGGAGGGCAGGCAGGCGGGCGCGCGCGTACAGCTTCTCCGCGGAGGTCCCTTCCCAGAAACCGGCCCGAGGTGTTGACAGCCTGGGAAACCCATGTGCGTAAGCAGCCGCCCTGGTCCCTCCTCTGGCGGAGTCCCTGCCAGGAGCGCCGGTGCTGGCCCCATTTCCCCACGGCTGGAATGTTCCCTGTCTGGGGCTCCGGCGAGAGCTGCCAGCCAGCCGTGGCCGCCTCTTGGCAGGCGGGGTCCCGAGGGCGCCACGCGATCCTGGCGGCGAGAGAGCCGGCCGGCTGGGGCAGGGCCGCTGGACCTCTTCAGGGCAGCCGCGTGGCTGTCGGTCCAAGGGAAACCGGGAAGGCAACGGCTGGCGGGAGGGCTTTTTTTTTTTTGCTGCTGCTGCTGCTGCTGCTGCTGCTCTCTGGCCCCCAAAGGAGGACAGCTCTTTGGGCCTCCAAGGCTCATAGGCGAGGGGCGCCCAGCCTACCAGCAGCGAGCGGCTCCTCCAGCGGAGCCCTGGCCTGCTGAGACAGGCAGCAGGGAGGCAGAGACCCTCAAGGTGGAGCAAGCAGGCCTGCCTCCCTCCCTCTTGGTCCAGACTGTTTTGGGCGGCGGGCGGGGGAAGAGGGAGAGGCTTCTTCAGTCACAGGCTAACCCGTCCTGGCCTCTTCTCTCCCAGAGTTTTGTCCATCATGGGCCGCTTCAGAAGCACCTGCCAGGTAACAAAGGCCAGTAACGTCCCGTGTGACTCTGGGCCCGTTCCTTTCTACAGATGTTTGCACAATACACTATTGCACCTGATTTTTTTGATCAAATAAGCTGCACAGTATTCTTTGTGTCCAAGAGCACATACTATTTTGTCTTGCTCTTTTCCCTTTATTCCCAACCCTCTTCTGAATTAAACAAAACAAAACAATAAAATGCTGGTCATTTAATTCCTGCCACGTTTCCTGTTAATTGAACTTCCACACAGCCTGTTTGGGAAGTTGGAACCTAAGAAGATCCCTGTGCTGGATCAGGCCAAGGGCCCCTCTAGTCCAGCTCCCTGTATCTCATTGTGGCCCCCCCAGATGCCTCCGGGAGCCCACGAGCCCACGTTCCTTCTAAGCCTGGAGATTGTACCTCCCCATCATGGCTTGTAACCTGCGATGGATGTTTCCTCCAGGAATCTGTCAAATTCCCTTTTAAAGGCAGCTAGGCCAAATCCTGTGGCAAGGCATTCCACAGACTAACAACATACTGGGTCAAGAAAAATGTTCTTTCATCTGTCCTCACTCTCCTAACCCTCCATTGGAGTGGAGGTCCCCTGGTTCTCTTATTACCTGAGAGGGAAAAGAGCTTCCCTCTCTCCACTTTATCCCCTGCATAATTTTAGATGTCTCCATCATGTCCCCCCTCAGGTGCCTTGTCTCTAGACTCGAGAGCCTCAAACGCTGTAGCCTTTCCTCATCAGGGAATGTGCCCCAGCCCCGTCATCCTTTGAGTCGCTCTCTTCTGCACCTTTTCCAGTTCCACCATTTCTTTTTTTGAGGTGCAGCAACCAGAATGGTATGCCATACTCTAGGTGCGGCCTTACCAGTGTTAACACAACCTCTACATGGAGGAGTGCATTCACTCCGTTTTTCCCTGCCCCGGCCCCCACATCATCTCATCTCTGAAATGCATGGGGCTTCCCCACTTAACAAAGGCTGCTTTTATGTCGGAATCCCCCGTGGAGGCAGCTGCCAACTTGACTGGGCTTCAGGAGGGCTCACCGAGCCTAGCTGGCACCTGGCCCTGCCTGACACCCCCGCTTTCCATCTGGCTCCACCTTCTCCCGCTGCCATCATCATGAGCCTGGCTCCAAGGTTTGGTGGACCACGGCTCAGGGGAGTCAAAAGCAAAGGATTTCTCCCGCAAACGTCTAACCCTCCAAATACCCCCAGCTGGCAGGAGCAGGACGGGCCCCGTCAACCACACCCTGCACTTGGGGACCCAGGTCGGTAGAAAGAGGTGCAGTAAAAGACACTTCTTGATAGCAGCAGCCTTCCTATTTCTTGAAAAGGGTCAAAACCCTTCTCAAAGAGTTTCACTTGGGGAGACCATTTCTCACCTGATCGAAATGAGTGCTGGAATCTACCAGAATTCTTTGTGGACAGGGTGGAAAAACGCCCTTCCTCCCACGGGTCAGTTCCCATGACCGACTGGTCCTGTGGGCGCCGAGGCCTCTCTTGCCCGAGAGGGAACAGGGGAGTGCCAGCCTCCTTGCCAAGCCAGCGTCACTTTTAAAGAAGGCAAACACGAGTTTTAAAAAAGCCTTGGGCACTTGTGGCCAGACACGGCCGTGGCGGAGCAGGGGCGGACAAGGTGCGACGGAGGGTTCCTGGCCCTTAAGAGGCCTCACCTCACGGGACTTTAACAGGGAGCGGGAGAGGGTGCCCTTTAACCCCTTCACCAAAGGAAGACCTTAGGGTCAATTCCAGGGTTCTTTTCTCCCCACAGAGGAGGAGGATTCGGCAAAGTTTTAAGCCACACAGCTGGCTGGAGTGGAAGGTGATGTGAGAACTAAAGGCAGGTGCCCGTACTTTATTAACTGTTTGCTATTCATACCCAGAGTCCAAAGTAAGCTTCCGCTGATGCCAGGTGACCAAAGCAGAGGACAAAGAGAGCCTTCTCTTGAGCCACTCTGCAGGTATCCGACAGAGGCACCTGTCTGGGCCCTGCCAAATATATCTCGGCCAGGCTGCCAAAAGAATCACAGCCACAGGAACAGTCATACCTCCAGGTGAAGCTGTGCCAGGAAAGTACGGGCAACTTGGTGAAGTGTCTGCGTCAGATCCCAGGTTTTAAACCGGTGGCCCACAGACCTCTGGGATCCACAATGTCCTCACAGGGATGTGCATGAAGGCTTGAAGAAATGTTATGATGTTTGGAAAATTTGGATTTTCTAACCTACCGTCTCCATTAAAAACAGACAAAAGTAAAAATTGGCTATGAAAATAACTGTTTGATATTTCTTGTCACGGATAATTTCCACACTGAGGCAGAACAAGGCTTATGGTAATCAGCAGCCATACTTGACAGGTGTGCAAAATGCTGAACCATGCAGTCTGGGATGACGCAATAGCCAGACTAATTGGCTGTATGTAAATGTGCATGTGTATAACTGTGGGGAGCTGTGGAGAAGGTGTACGGATCTCTTCTAATGAGCGTCATGCTGCCGGTTTGTACTGCTAAACTTCTGTATATATTGTAAATACACTTGGTGTTGGAAGAAGCTTGTCTTTGTCTGTGTCATTCAAGTGGACTGCCTGGACGGAAACAAAACTCTGCTAACTTACAGCAACTTTTCTGCACATCGTGAGAACCTGCCAGGGAATGACGCCGAGTGGCTGAGACGTGACATTTCTTGCTACTGCACACAGTCAGAAGATGTGGGAAGAGAGAGTCGGAGTCAGTCAGTGTTGGCGTGAGTGTTCAGACAAACTTCATGATTATGTTTCTTCTTCGATTTCTGCTAATCAAACCATTTGGTTATTGTCAGGTAAAGTGACTTTTCAATATTATCGTAGTGAATTTCATAACAATACATTTTGGCTGAGCCTCAGAAGAGATCTCTGGCTGAATCTGAAGCATAAAAGAACTGATGCTGTTGATGAGGGCGCATCCTGTTCAGAGCAAAATGAAGCTTCTTCCAGTCATATTTAAAAAGTGTTGCCATTATAGCAAGAAATATCCCGTTGGTGAGACCCTTCAGGGGAAACTCCACAGGGTCTGTGGAGAAGAAAAGGTTAAGAGGGGCTGCTTCAGCCCCTCTTCTGCCCATGGGACTTGGTGGAGATAAAAAGCGAATCCAGGAGCCTGAATACGTTGGTTCTTTCAGGACCGATGCTAACGGCTCTCTGTGCAATGACGGTGGGGTAGCTCCTCTCCTAACGGTTTCTCAGGAGAGAAGGAAAGCAGAAGAAGTCCTCTGCCGGATAAGCCCCGCTCCGCATGAGCAACATCTGGGCAGCTTAGCCACTCATCCTTGGACACGCCTCTGCTTCTCCAGGAAGAAAAGATCAGCAACAGAATGGTTCTCCTGCAACAGGGACTGTTTTTCATTTTTCTTCTCTGGCGAGAGGGAACTGAGAATCCTAGGGGTCGGTTAGGAGCAGCCACCTAAATGAAGTGGAAAAGGCAAGGCCTTCCACTCTTCTTATAGGAAAAGAGCTGGCCTGGACGCATTTTACATGCTTTGCTATGTGTGCCAGAGAAGAAGATGTGAAGTCTCTCCTGCCAGCTTTAAGAGCTAACACTTGGATCAGGTCCACTTGCTCCGGGCTTGTTTGAACAAACTAGAATTCAAATGAGAGAGGAGCCCCAGGGAGGAAGGGATGGGGAAGTCAACGGCGGCCTCTCCCCATCTCACAGGGCTGAGCTTCTGCTGGTGTCTGCTTTGAGTGCAGAAAAGAAAGAAAACACTCTCTCCAAGACCCTGTCTCTAAAAGAGAACTCTGACAAAGTCTTTTATTACAAACGTTTTCGGTAAGACAAGGGAGCAAGTATTTAGAAGCCTCCTCTGGCCATTTCCAACCTCGTCTTCTGCCAAAGGTACGGCTCCCGTGGGGGGGGGTTGGGGGGGTGCGCTGTGAGAAAGCCAAAGGTCACAGGACCCATGTCTTCGTGCCTTCCATACCAATAGTCCCTCCCTGTATCTTCCCTCCCCCCCAACAAGACACAGGGGAACCTTTCAGAGCTGCTGAAGAAGGGAAGGAAGTGCAAAAAAAATGTGGGGTGTGTGCATGAGGGGCTCCTCCAGCTTGCCCCCTGCCAAGAGGCCATCCAGCCGCTGAGGCAGAAGGGTGGGGGCCCCACAGTCCAGCAAGGACCCTGCCGCTCCCTTGCCCCCACCCCCAGCAGCACAGCCTCAAGGTCCCAATCCAGCATCGGGGCAAAGATTGCCTGCTCAGCAGACATCCTAGACTCGAGAGGAGACCCGTCTGCTCTTGCCAGGTGGCACAGGCCCTTCTCTCGCCCTCGGCCCTCCACAAAAAACACCTTCCAGAGCACAGCCCTGAAGTCTTTGGGGCCCCTCACCTCCACAGACCTTCCCCGTGGGAAGGAGGCTGCTCCTCCGGAAGAGTCCAGCTGCCACATCACAGGCTCCTCTCGGCCTTTCAAAGTCAGGGGCTGAGGAGGGGGAGGAGGAGGGCGGCCTGGCCATTCCTGGGCTCACTACTAAACCGCCCCCCCAAAGCACAGCTCAGCTCTCGAACCACTTGCTCCGCCTGGCAGGCCGAGCGCTTTGGCCGCCGCCCAGGATCCTGCGCTTGTACTGCTCCACCAGCTGCTCGAAACGGACTTCGGTCTGGTTGTGTCCTGCCCGCCGCTTCTTCTTTGTGGGTCCCTGCAGAAGGGCATCAGCACATCAAAAAAGCCCCACTGGGCAGCCAGGATGACTGAAACGCTCAAGATGGAGCAGGCCCGCGTTCCAGGCTTTTTTGGGGAGGGGGGGGCTGGCTGCGCAAGGGAAATAGACTTTCCTATTCTGAAAGTCACCCTCCATGCATGACCAGAAATTGTGATGTGGATTGCATGGCTAGAATGCTCTCCCTTCTCACTGTATTGGTGCTGAGTAAAGATAAGTTTGCAATCAAGAATAATGTTACTTCACGTTCAGAAGTTACTGAACTTCTGAACTGACAAAGCACGTGAGCCACCCGTGGGATGGC